CAAAAGATACTTTTGCAAACTTTTTAACCCCTTGTCTGATTTGTGCCAATATGTTGCTCTCCTGAATGAATTGATTCTAAATATGTAATTTGTATGAAGATTGGATGTGTAGTTTTAAAGTTACAGTGTATGGATAAAAGCTGTATTTTTACTGCCTGTGTTTAATTATGTTAACCCATTGTGTACCATAATTAGATCACAGGCAGAGAGGAGGATCTTTGTGTGTAATTGCTGGGAGTGTTTCTGTAATGTACGTTTATTATTGGCTGTTGTGTAAAACCCTGTGGGTGGTCCTATCTCAGGGAAACCTGCATAAAAGAAGGTTCTTTGTGTGCCAATAAACAGAATGACTTGACCCTCTTACTTGCAGCCTTGACTCATGTTTGTAGGAGACAGCTATAATCACTACAGGGATTGCTATTCTCTTCATACTCCCTTAACTACTGAGCTCTTGTAAGAGCTCTTGTTCCTGTTCCTGCTTCACTCTACAGAAGGAAGAGGTTCACCTACTGGAACCTGGAGCCTGGTCGTAGGACCAGGGTGGATAGCAGACGGCAAGATCCTAGCCCAGCAGCGGTGGTTCGTTGAGTCTGCAGTACTTATGGTGGGCTACGCAGTACTTATGGTGTCAACAGTGCTGATGGTCCTTTGGTGAGCGCTAGGAGCATCCTTTCTACGGTCCAACTTCCAACCAGCCTGGAGGCAACCGTAACAGAGGGCGGCGGGGGTCCAGATACATCCACAGACGCAGGGCGAGCAGACTTCTGTGGCACACAGGTGTTGCCGCCTGTGGCGTTAGTATCCCTGGCCCCAGGCGTCTGCAAAGCCGGGAAGGCCTCCTTATGGTTAACAAACTCAGCAGGGGAGCACTCACCCTCCTCTGTGGATTCTCCAGACCCCCTGACAGGGGTCTCAGGCTGACGCTGGGCGATGTTTTTCCTCTTCTTTTTTTTTTCATTTTCCAACGGAGCCCTCCCCAAGTTCGTCACCAAACCTGAGGAGAGACTCCTTAATCAGCCCTCGACCCCTGTGCTGCACATTTTTTCAGCCTCCATTCTTCTCCCTTCTGTCCTTCCCATTCTGCTTCGCTGTCCTTCTCTCTGGCCCTCCTCTCTGTCTCAGCCGCGCCCCCCGGTGTGGTAAGGGTGGAGGCACATTGCTCCCCAGGTGAGTGATGGGAGTCAGCATCCAAGTCCCTGCTGGACTCCTCACCTGGGGACATGTCCCTCCTACCCCCAAGGGCCCTCTGCCTCCTGGATTGTGCTGCCTCCTTGGCCCGCTGTCGCAGGATGGACTGGATGTCCGCCATTTTGGATTCAGTCTGGAGCAGGGTGTAAAAAAAGCTGCTGCTCCTCCAGTTTTTTCTGGGCTATAATGGCCCTCACAGGACTCCTTTTGTGGTTAGAGGTCATGCTGGATTTCTCTCTCTGCTCCCTGAGCTCTGCCTGGACCCCAGCAAGGCCAGCATCCGCCTCGGCGTGCTGGGCCTTCAGGGACACAAGCAGACCTCGGAGCCTGTCAGAAGGTAGCCCTCTGAATGCCCTAGCCTCAACCCCCTCACCCTTTGTAGCCGCAGCATAGGTGAGGGAGGCCTGAGGGGCCTCGCTGGTACCAACCACCTCAGGGGGGTCTCAAGGACTACCTCCTCCTCGGGACCCTCTCCCGCATCCAGTGACGGGGGGGGGCTGCTCCAGGAAGTGGAGGCCGTCGCTGGCAAGTTCCTTGCACTCAGCCAGCAACCCAGAGAGCAGCTGGATATCGGCCCTGGTATGGTGCCAAGGCTCCCTGGGGGACCCCCACTCCCTTCTTGTTTGCCATCCCCCCCCGCCAGTTCTTCCAACTGGGATACTTGTTGTCTTACTTGCCGGGAGAGGGCCTGGTGTTCAGTCCAGGACAGGCTCCTGGTATCCACTTTTCCTTCCCCAAAGGCCAGACTAACCTGTAGCTTGTCTAACTTGACCTTCCATCCCCAGGCTGGGGAGGAAGGCCTGAGGGCCATGCTGCCTTAGGCCCAGGCAGAGCCCCAATGTCCAGTAAGTATTCCCCAGGAACAGTGCAGGGAAATCGGGCTGAAATTACAGGCACACCCCACAGACTTCCAAGGAAGCAGGAGCTGCTTCTGAGCACCACCAACAGCCGTCCACCTTCCAGCCCCCAGAGGTTGGAGCTGGAATATTTGGTTTATTTGAAAATTATGCCACAAAGAGTAACAAAATAGACAAAAATAACAATAAATGAACAGTAAATTCCATACAAAACATCAAAAACAAAAACCAGCATAATAGGAACTGTACAAAACAAAGAAACACACAGACCATCAATACCTGCTTTGGAGGCATTTACCCCCCGAAGAAAACACATCTCTCCGAGACACGCCCATCCCCTAGATGCGCACACCCCAGAGGCACGCACACCCCCGAGATACGCACACCCCAGGGACAAGTGCATCCCAGAGACACGCGCCCCTCACATTGCACATAACTTGCTGAAAGCCTTGCATAAAGAGAAAACAAAGAAAAGCATAACACCTGGGGTCCCATTAGTCACATGGGCCCCAAAACCAAAAAGAAGTCCTCATTACCTTATGAGGCTTCTTTACATCTACCCTGTGAAGGGGAGGGGGGGGGGGACAGAAAACATGAAACAGGACGCGGGACAAGACACAGGACAAGACACAAAGGGGAGAGCCCACTGATCTGACATCCGACAGCCAGGTGACCCTCGCAAAATAAATAAAAGGGGGGGGGGGAACTATATACATATATCAAAGTTCAGAAATGTCCGTAACCTTACTTATTGCATATTTGGTATTAAATATGACATCACCAATCCCCAAACCCACCACCCAAAGGATGTCTTCTCTTTCCCACACACAAAACCCACCACCCCAAGGAGTCCATCCCTCCGTCCATAAACACCCATCCCAGATAAACATGAGAAAACCCACCACCCGCAAAAAGTCCATACAATAAGTCCGTTAAGGTATGCCTGTTACAAAAGACTGGAAATCACTATGTTGCTGTTTTAACTCACTGATTGATACTGTTTGCCACTGCATAAGTTAAGGAGAAAAACCACATGAATGGATTACGCAAACCCTTATGAAGGCTCCATTCGTGGTACGAACGGGGGACCCCCCAGAAACAGGTGTGTGCCACTTAACCCCGTCACCCCGCAAACTACCGAACGGTCGACCACCCGGCCCGCGGAGTGTGGCAGCCATTAACCACCCAGGTGGCTGCGGTTTGCGGTTAACCACAACGTAATTAATAGGCCTGGGGGCATCGACGTTCGCACCCAAAGCACCGAAGGGAATATACCGAACGGCGACCCCCTACAGTGGGTCGCATGGCGCTCATTAACTTGTGGTTTCTGCAGTTAACCGCAGGTCAAGTACCCTGCTCCCAGGTGGTCCTCATTCTCTTACCGAACGAGCCCACTACCAGACAGACAGCGGGACTTCGCATGAACTGATACCGAGTTTAGTTCCACGAGTTAGACACAAAGTCCCGCTGCTTGCTAAACCAGCAGAAAACATGGCCGCCAACAGAGACTAACAATCTCAAAATGCCGAACGGACTTTATACGGCAGAAACAGTACATTCTGTTCGTGGGATTAGAGCGCCATTCGCCTATTTTATATACACGAACGCGAGCCTTCAGATGAATGGTAGAATGAGTGGTGTTACTGTAATAATGTACAAGTTATGGATTTTCATGTAGTTTTCTAGGACATAATAAAACGTGGTCTTTTGTGCGCTTGGAGATAATTAGATTGCAAAACCGTTGGCCTCATTATCTCCAAGCTGGGCGGGTACTAATTCAAATGATACAGTGTACTGTGATTGGTTACCTGTTTGTACTGTACCTGTATTCCATCAGGTCCACAGGGGGCTGTCCTTGGACCTGGGGAGTCACATAAATTGCCATGCTATGTGCCAGTAAAGCCAGTTCGTTTTGACCCTCAACTTGCAGCCTCGACTCATGTTGTAGGGATCCGGGATATTGATGCTTATTTCGTGCTTGGGGATATTCTACACTTACAGCTTGCTACCGAAAGACCTCCGTTCGACTCTCTACAGTGGGAACCAGGACATCCAAGCGATCAACCCTCCTGCTAGACTGGGGGCAATCGTAACAATGCCTTTACCCAACAACATCCCCACCCGCCATTTGTGCAAAAACAAGACAAAAACCAGCCCAACAATATACAACATTATATACAAATTCCCTACAAATTCCCTACAAATTCCCTACAAATTCCCTACAAATTCCCTACAAATTCCCTACAAATTCCCTACAAATTCCCTACAAATAGAAGGTACTCATCTTGGAAAAAGTGTGGTAGCCTTCCATTAAAATCAAAAATGCTCTCAAAAATCTAAAGTGGGGGGGTGAAGAATAGAATTTCGGAAGAAAAACCGTCACCAAGACAAGGGCGCCCGTGGATCGGCTCAAGGCGGGTGGACCTTGAAATTTCGCCACAGACGCTGCCAAATTGTGGGATCCATGGAGGCCCTTTCCGAATTATAGATCCCGCAAACCGCTCTCCGGATGTCTGCCACCACCACCTGACAGGAAAGGTCTTTTCTCTGAAGGGAAACCTGACACCGTGCCATCCACGTGAAGTACTTGACCACTGAAGTAACTAGGAAAAGAGTGCTCAAATTAAAGTTCCTCCCCCGTGAGTTGGACGTCCCGTACACCCACTGCGCGTAAGTCCAGCGGGATAGGCAGGGGATGCCCAAGGCGGTCGAGACCTCTTTGTAGACCCATACGTTAAAGGAGCACTCGAGGAGAAAGTGGTCCATGGACTCCACTCTCCCGGAACATTCCACCCGAGGACAACCGCGATCCGCGATGTTCCTGTACTTCAAGTTACCTCTAACGCAGAGTCTACCGTGGAAGGAGAGAAACGCCAAGTCTCGGTATTTCTCCGGAAGGCGCCTGGAGTTGATGTTTTTCAACCCCGGAGGCGAGAGTACTTGGCGGGCAGTCCCTCAATGCGAGCTGAATGCCATAGTGGGTGGCCAGGACCCTCCCGTCGAGAATCCACCGTGACATTCCACCTGCGAAGAATTCCCACTCCCTCGATGACCGAAGTCGGGAGGTAATGAGAGTGCCAGACTCTCAGACTCTTCACCTTCCCGCCCCGGAACCAGTCCACCAGGAAAGGTGCGACCCACTCCCTGAAAATACATACCCAGCCGGGCGGCTCGTCCTTCAGGAGAGCCCCAAAATTCCTTTTCAGGAAGGTGTTGTTGAAATAGACGATGGGGTTGACCATGGCCAAACCCCCGTCCTTCCTGGCCAGGTAAGTGACCTCTCTTGATGAGGTTCAGCCTGTTCCCCCACAACATGCGGAAGAACAGAGCGAACATCGGAGCGTGAAGAGACCTGGGCAAAAGAAAGATGTTACTGACGTAACCGAATACAGTCAGCACATGGGTTTTAATCAGTTTCACCCGTTCTCTATAGGTCAGTTTCCACCGATGGCTCTCCTCCACTTTGCTGGAAGCTATGGCAAGCCTTTCGGACCAGTTTCTGAGAGCCAGATCCCCTGGTCCGAACACCACTCCCAAGATTTTAATTTCGGGTTGGGCCTGAGGGAAGCCGTCTGGAAGGGGAAACTGGTCCCCCTCCTTCCCGCACCAGAAAACTCCGCTCTTGCACTTGTTGACCTGAGAGGAGGAAGCGGCAGAGTAAGCGCGAATCATGTCATCCACCAAAGCGGACTCCTGAGTCTTGGAGACCACGATGGAGATGTCATCAGCATAGGCTACCACCCGTAAAGGCCTCTCCGGAGCCCTGGCCACTCCTTGTAACGCACTCCCGTCGATTGCCCTTATAAAGGGGTCGATCGCGAATACGTACATGAGCGGGCTGAGAGGACAGCCTTGCCGGACTCCGGATCGGATCCCAAACGCTCTGCCTTTCCAACCGTTTACCAGAGCGAAGCTGTCGGCCCCCCTATAAAGGGTGATAATCCAATTGATGAATTTACTGGGCAAGCCATACTTCCGCAAGACTGACCATAGATAACGGTGATCGACCCGATCAAAAGCCTTGGACTGATCAAGTGCCAGGAGGTATATCCCCTTCACCCCAGCCCTGCACTTCTCGAGAGCTTCCCTGACCTCGAAAACGGCATCGAAGACAGTTCTGCCCCCGAGCGCACAGTACTGGGAGGTGGATAGGATGCTACCGGCCAGGCCCTGTAAACGTTTCATCAAGATCTTTGCCAGGACCTTCCTTTCGACATTAAGGAGGGATATGGGTCGCCAGTTCCCCACATCCGCAGTGTCGACTACGTTCGGCTTGGTCAGTAAGATCAGGGCAGAAGACCTCATCGAGGCTGGTAGTAATCCTTGAGCCAGGCTCTCATACACCTCTGTTAGATGAGGGGCCAAAAGAGTGCAGAACTGCTGGTAGAATTCAGCCGTCAGGCCATCGGGACTTGGCAACTTATTCTTGTTCTGCTGTATGATACTCTCTGTGACGTCTTCTATGGTGATCTCACTGACCAACTCATCCCAAGGAAGGTCGGTATTCTCAGGAAGCGTGATCCCACTCAAGAAATCATCCACCTCCCTCCCGCGGGACGTTCCCCCCTCGGCATATCGGGGTCTGCCCTTTCCGAGGAGCCCAATATAGTAGTCGCGGACCACCTTCAGAATCCCACGAGGGGACTCCTCGAGGATTCCGTCGGCGCTCCGCAGACTAGAGATGGTCTTGGTACCTTCCTTCCTCTTGCAACTAAGATAAGGATCGGGCGAGTGGTAAGCCCCATGATCCCTCTCCTTTTCAAGGGAGGCGTATCTGTCATATGGAAAACTCCTTATCAGGGCCTTGACCGCCGCAACATCCTCGGGGTCACCTCCCTGCGAGAACAAGATGTCTAACCTCGCGAGTAAGCTCAGATACACCTTGTATCTAGAGGATTGCATGTTCTGGGCAAGATTGTGAAAAAGCCTTCGAGTCCTGGCCTTCACCATCTCCCACCACTCAGACTTCGTCTGACCTAAGTCGGCCAAAGTAATCTGGTCGTGGAAGAAATCCTTGAAAGCCTGCTGAACCCTTGGTTCCACCAGGCGGTCTGAATTGAGCCGCCATATCCCTCTACCTTTAGATGGGGTGTTGCGGACGTTCAACTCACAAGATAGAATGTGATGGTCGGAGAACTCCACTGGCGTAAGCACAGGTGCCGCCACCGGGAAATCCTCCATAACAAAAATCCTATCTATTCTACTCTGACAACTACCTCGGTGATACGTGAATTCACCCGTGGGATTGGGAGCGTGGTGAATTTACGCATCCACCAGTCCTGCCTGACTAACCATTCTATTTAGAAAAGTGGAGTCATACCCAAGCCTCTGAGTGGCGCCTCTCCTGTCCCGAGGCCTAGTGATGGTGTTAAAATCACCGCCAAACAGAATTTGCTTGGATGTATACAGGCTCTCTCGCGCTAAACAGGCACTTCCTCTCCCACTTGGTTTGGGGGCCATAGATGTTGATGATATGGAGAGGTTGCCTGTCCAGCGACACATCTAAAACCACACAGTGTCCTTTCTGCAGCTCAATGACTGTTGATGCAAGCATCAACTTCCTTAAATAGGATGGCAATCCCCCTTTATCTAGAGAGAAGTAGGAGGGCCCCATCTCCAGTCCTGCTTTGCAGCGTGCAGGGCCGCGAGGGTTTCCAGCCGGGTCTCCTGTACCATGATGACATTGTACGGAGCCCGGCTGAGGTGGTCATAAACCAAAAATCTGGCCCTGCTGGACTTAATGCTGTTCACATTCACTGTAGCCACAGAGGGTATAGGGAAACTAGACATAAGAGCCATTTAAGCACAAGGAGACTTTCCCTTCTTTCTGCTATCCCCCTCCTCTTCCGAGTCGGAGCAGTACCTCTTCACAGAGACTCTGGGAATTAGGGGCCCATCGTCCCTCAGAGGCACTACCCCTCCAATCTCGACCCCCGCCCCCACCCCAGAAAGGTTCGCCATCTCCTCCTCTAGCACGCGGTCGGCCCAGCTGGAAGCCAGTGCCTCAAACTGGTTGGACAAGGGCACTGGGGCCTCCCGCAGAGCCAGGGAGGAGACCGTTTCCCCTGCCTTGCCACCCTTTGGCACAGCACCCTTTTTCTGGGGCTGCTCCTCAGGGGGCCTGGCAGTTTTCCGAGGCGAGGAGGGAGCCGAGACCTTCGGAGGAGGGGGATTTTTAGATCTAACTTCCTTCTTTTTCCACTCAAGATCAAGGGGGAGTGTCGAGGGAACAGGTTGAACCAAGGGAATATTTACATTGGAAGAGGTCCCAGGGGACTCAGGGACAACACCAGTGCTGGAAGTGCCTACTCTAACCGTTTCGTGAGGGAGTGAGCTAACAGCCGTCACTGGGGCCTTAGAAGGTACACTAATGACCGGGGGGGGATGGACGGTGGTCGGGGCCCGAAGATCGATGTTCTAGGGAGGGAGACACCCGATGATGTAGCAACCACTTCCCCTAACCCAGCAGAGTCCATCTCCACCGGCTCCAGACTCTAGATGGACTCAATATTATGCTGGGCTTCGGGGCAGGTACGATAGGAGTGTCCCATCCTCCCGCATAGATGGCACCTGATCTCCGAGCAGGAGTCTCTGAGATGTCCCACAGCACCGCACATAGTGCATTTCTGGTCCGTTCAGGCATTACTAAAATGCTTATACGATCCGCACTTATTGCACACTCGAGGCTGGCCAGGGTAAAAACAGGATACCCTGTCAGCCCCGATAAAAAAAGCTGTTGGACATGTGCTGTGTGACACCCCAAATCTCCCTCAACATCACCAAGATAGTCCACCCACCTGTCCAAATTCCATCCTCATCCAAGATCTTTACGGGGGGACTTTTGACGTCCCCGTATCTCCTGACCCATACCAGGATGTCCGCTACAGGGATGGACTCGTTCCTCACCAGGAAAGTCACTTTCTTGACCCCCTGGTGAGAAACGGGTATAGCGGTAAACCCGGCCCATCTCGACCCCTGCCTCCCACCCAGCCCAGAAACGGTCCAGGAGCTGCGACGTCATAAAGGAGACGTCGAACTCCCGGGTTCCCGCAGCATGGATGAGGGTGTACAGGTCCACGGGCGCAAACCCCATATCCTTTTGAAATGTCACCAGCCACCTTCTGTCAGGCACCTGGGTCTCACCCCCAAAGACGAGCCGTACTACGTTCCTTCCTGTCAGGCACCCGGGTCTCGCCCTCCCAGGCCAACTGCACCACGTTCCTCCTGCCCCCTGCAGGGGGGACCTGAGGGCGGGCAGCGAGACCGGCCATGGTTAGACGAGGTGGCCCTGATGCCCAAGCATTGGGCACACTGGGTCCTGCCATCTGGGACACTGGGGGCCAGGTAACTCCAGTGGCAGGGCCATTGCTGGAGACCCCGGTCACAGCACCCTGAGTGACGGCATGGGGGTGCCTAGGGACGTCCCTAAGTGCCGGTAACTTACACTGTACAGAACCACAATTCATAACAGAAAGAGCACAACGAGCAGGGGTGCCCACATTATCAAGTTCCACACTTGAGGGTACATAATCAGGGGCAACAGAGGGACCGGGGATACCAGGGTGACCAGAAGGGGCAGCAGAAGTACCAACATGGGTAACATTAACACTTTTATTTACAAGCACCTGCCCAGCAGAGGGCACCACCTGGCTGTGGACAAAACCTTCATACACTGAATTTAGATCAGTGGGCTCATTCACATAGCCCAGCTCCCCAGTCCCACCATCCCCAGCCAGCGCAGGACCACCAGCAGAGCCCCCAGCAGAGCCCAAATCAGCTCCACTGGCAGCCCCACACAGATGGTCGGATGGCTTGGGGTGATGGGAGGTCACTGCACACCCGGCACTCACAGCACCTGCGGCACCTGCGGTGCACGCGCTGCGCGCACCCGCAGCACCAGGGGCACACACAGCACCCGCGCCCCCACGGGCACCAGCACCATGTGCACGCGTGGCACCGGCACCGCGCGCCCGCGGCACAGGTACCCGCGGAACCAGTGGCACCAGGGCAAAGTGGGGGAACCAGGGGGGCAGACATAGGGACAGACATTGTCACAGACATCAGTCAGAGGAACATTTAAAGGGATAACATCACTTAAAGGGGCACCAACATTTAAAGGGACACCAACATTTAAAGGGGTACTAACAGGAGCTTCCATACCAGACACAGACATTACATTGGGAGGGGGCAGAGTCAGCATCAAATTCATTCTGGGGCTGCCCAGAGTCAGCAACCAGGGCAGACCTCATGGAAGGACCAGCAGCCTGCCTGGAGCCGGCACCTGGAGCAGCTACATTCATGGAAGGAAAAGCAGAAGGAAAGTCAAAGGGGGGGGGAGGGAGGGAGGGAATGGGAAGGGATGAAAGGGAAGCCCCCTCCATGGGATCACTGGTGCCCGCCACAGCACCAGTGGGGTTGGTCTCCCTGTCACCATGGAAGGCGATGGGGGGCCCAGAAAGATCTGCAGGGACAAGGTGGGCAGACCCTTGAGGTATCCCAGGGGTCTGCAAGGATGGAAACTCTTCCTCAGAGTATGAAAACTCTGAGGGGTACTCACCCTTCCCCACTGATCCCCCAGACTCCCTGTGGATCCTGGCTTCAGGCTGGTGGTCAGCAGGGCTCCTTGACTTTTTCTTTTTCACCCTGCTATCCATAGCCTCTTCCAGATCCTCATTTCCAAATGCAAGAAGCGATTCTTTAATGAGCTCCTGGGTTTTGGCTTCAGGAATATTCAGTCTCCATTCACCGCTCTCCTCTGCACCCCATTCCTCTTCCTTCTCTGTCACTTTAGCTGTTACTTTTCCACCTGTAGCAGCCACATGGCCCCCAGGTGGGGTTGAGGGGGGAGGCAGTCTCCCCACCGGTGAGGTATTCTGGTCACCCTCAGACTCCATGCCAGACCCCCCACCGGTAGGAATATCCCTCCTACCCTCTAGAGACTCCTGCCTCTTTAACCTGGCTGTTTCCTTCAGCCTCTGCTGCATGATTGCCTGTGTGTGTCTAATTTGCTTCTCAAGGTGGAGCAGCCTGAAACCTAATTGCTGCTCTAAAAATTTTTTCTCTGCAATTAGAGTTCTTACTGGGCCCCTCTCATGATTAGACATTTTACTAGACTGAACTCTTAATGTCTTAAGCTCGGTCTGCAAGGCAGACAAACTGCAGTCAATTTCAGAGTGCCTTTCTTTATGTTCTTTCAATAAAGATAATTTCTCTGCAGGCAGCTCTCATGGTGTTTGCTGCAGCCGCAGCCCCTCCACCCCCCAGCTGCCTCAGCATAGGTGCACTAGGCTGGGGGGGGGTCAACGGCATCAGCCTCAGCTTCTGCCTCCAGGGACCCCTCTAGGGCCACTTCCATGGGGCTATTATCCATTAGTTCCAAGGGAGGGGGGGGGGTCCCTGCAGGCCCATGGGGGACCCCCACTCCCTTTTTCCACTCACATAGCCTTTTGTGTAGTCTCCCATCCAGGTCCTGCAGCTTGCTCACCTGCTGCCTTGTGGTCCTGGTGAGGGCTTGGTGTTTGAAGCCGCACATAGTTCACTTAAGGACCGTACAGGCATTGCTGAAATGCCTGTACGATCCGCACTTGTGGCATACCCTGGGCTGACCAGGGTAAAAGCAAGATACCCTGTCAGCCCCGATGAAGAAACTATTTGGCATATGCTGTGTGACACCTCGTATCTCCCGCAGCAACACTGAGACAGTCCACCCACCTGTCTATATCCCATCCTCGTCTAAGATCTTAACTGGGGGGATTTAACATCCCCAAACCTCCTAGTCCATACGAGGATGTTTGCTATGGGGATGGACTCATTTCTCACCAGGAAGGTGACCTTCTTTAGACCCTGGCGAGAAATAGGCACAGCAGTGAATCCTGCCCACTTTGTGCCCTGCGCAGACCTGGCAGCCTCCCATCCAGCCCAGAAACGATCCAGGAGCTGCAATGTCA